AGAGCAAAGGAAATGAGGTGTGCTGTTGAAACACAAATATTTTTGTAAACAAAATACTAAAAAAAAAAAAAATAAAATTGAACTAACAAAAACGTAAGCGTGCTGTTTACATTTTCAAACGACGACATTACACACGGCCGAGATACATACATACATACGTGTAAGTGCAACGTAAAAAACGTTTAACCGTTTATGAACCGTTGATAAAAAGACAGAAAATGCTTGTTAATAGTGTTAGAAGGAGGTGAGAAGAAGGTATGAATCGTAAAAAAACTGCCTTCAAGTAGAAAATCGATAGAAAAAACGAAACAACAACTAATAGTCATCACAGTTCATACACAGTGTGTACAGTACATAGAGCAGACGCGAAAATTGCTTCGTAATGTAAATAAATAATGCCATATAAACACTTTACAAGTCGTATGGGAAACACATTAGATTCTGCTGACGTATTGAGAATGATGAAAAACAAATTCAGTTACACGCGTTGGGAAAAATTAGAAATGTATAAGGAAAGTAAAACGAAAATTAAATTTTCAATACGTAAAAGTGTTGTTGATTTACGTACATGTATATTTATTTATAGTTTAGGTGAAAATATCAAAATATCGGAAATATGATTGGTAGGAAAAACGCAAGTCAAACGCATTATTTTAGGATTTCAGTCGAATTAGTTCAACAACCTTTCGAAAATTTATTTGGGGATTAAAAATTAAAGAGATATAAAAAAAAAATAAAAAATAAATCCAACAAGAATTAAAATCTATTTATTTTGCTGTAGTGTCTTGAGAATAACAGAAAAGGCCGGTTATATAATATACACATATGTACATACATATTCATACTTGTTTATGTATTATAGACGATTTACAGCCGTTAGAGCGATTTTCGGCCGGATATGCGTAAACTTATTTTCGACTATTCTGCGAACAATTTTTCTCAAAATATTTCCATAATACATATGCAAATGTGTAGGCTTTTGCATCGTTTAAAAATAAAATTTATAAATAATAAATTCTCGAAAATTTAGCTTTTTTGTATACCAGAAAGATTTTTCAATGCGCACAGCTTTTTATTGCATATTTTTAAACGTAAAACAAATTTTTTTTTGAATGGAAAAAACTCCAAAAAAAAGCGATAGGCTGGTGTAAGCAGGAATGATTTTTTACAGTAGCTTGAAATTATTCAGATCCAGGAAAAAGAAAATATCTTAATAATAAATAATACCAAAAGCGTTATCATAAATACATACATATGTCGACTGAAAATGGATACGTCCTTTATTTTTAAAGAATGTCACTCTTTATTATTATTATCATTGAAATTAGCAATAATTTACCAACAAGTGAAGCACTTCTGAAAGGGTTTACTCATAAAATTTTCATAAATATCGATTGGAAAATAAACATTATTTGTTACCAGAGTCGCTAAAACTCAAATTACTAATTTTTTTTCCGAAAAAAATTCATTATAAAAATTTGTTCCGAGTCTGGTAGTTTTCTGCTAACTATACGACTTTTCTAGTTAGATGATTTTAACATTAAAAAAATTCAGAAAATCATTATTTACAGTGCCTTTTTTTAATACAAAGCTTAGAATTACTCACAGAAAATATTGTTATTATTATTTCATAATTTTTAAATTTTTTTTTAATTTCAAGTTGAAAAGTTATCTGTTAAGTTTTTAAAAACATTATAAATCAATTAAAATGTTCCAAGAAAAATGTGCAAATTTTGAACTTGATTATTCAAAAATTTTGTCACTGTGAGAGCATAAGCTTTTGCGATAAACAGACTAAAAACTACTAACAAAAAATGCAGAAACTTTTAAATTTTAATTTCTTATCTTTTATGTTATAAGCACATCTTTTCTCTCAAATGATATTGTGAAATTCAATTCAAACCATTTGAGGATTTAACAAGTACCTCACGATAGCTCTGCTTTTTTTTTTTAAACCGCAAAGCGGCAAAGCTAATTTTTTTATATTTACATATAATCCATCAGTAAGTATACAAAAATAATATAAAATAATTTCAACAGAAAAGAATAAGAATGTATTTATTTATAAATAAATAAACAAAGGAGTCATAAGTTGACAGCTGGTGAACGATTGGAGGCATTAAAACCATATAAACTTGCATTTATTATACATTTACAATATACATATGTGAATGAAAATTGACAGATACACAGGCGCCAAATGGTAGGAAGTAGATACATATGTATATGATGTATATGACAAAAAAGAAAAAAAAACAAGAACAAAATAAATAAAAAGATAAAATATATATTTTTATTCTTTATAGCACGAGAAAGGTCATAAACACAAACATAAATTGTACAAAAATTTTTAAAGGAGAGCTCAGCAAAGAGCAGGGCAGAAACAAATTGTGAAATTACGCATTATGGATTTTAAAAATATACAATTAGATATGGCGCTGAAGATTTATATATGTAGGAATACATGTATGATGTACATATGTACAATACATGGAGAAAATCAATTTTAAATTTCCGTTTTAAAAATCTTATTTTCAAGCATTTGTTAAATATATGACATACGTACATACAAAAGTGAAAAAAGTGATAGCCGTATTTTATAAATAAGTCAATAAACTCTTAAGTTGTAATGTGAATGCACGTGTTCACATATATTTAAGACGTTAATGATTTTTTAATAATATCTACAAATCCTAGCCTATTTGAGTGATTGTCATCATATCTGGGTTTAACGTGAATGAATGCTTGTACATATGTATTATTCTAAACAAACGATATCAATCAAATGGCACAAAAATTAAAATGATTATTCTGTGTAAAAGAATATTTGGTATAATGAATCACCGAATAATGTATAAAATATACTTGCAAGAAGCATGCAGAATTTGCGAATGAATTGCTGTAATATAATTTTATATTTCTTCTTATAAATTACCTTTATTCTACTTTTTTTTATTTTTCCAAAATATTACGTAAGACTAAAAGGTCTCTCGGTATGACATAGATACTTATGTCGATATGCACATATGTAGTATGTATAAAAAAATAATTTAATGAACGAATGTACAGTTGTGTGTAGAATAAAAGTGGATAAGAAGATTAGTTATATTCAAAACAAGGCAATAAATATTTATAAAAGTATATGTATATAAATTTTAAATTATAATTTATGTATCATCCGACATTATAGACTTTAAAAATATTAAATATAGTAGTAAAAAGTAGAATAGTAAACTTTATGCATATAAATAAAATCAAATAAATAATAAAAAATTATTGAATATAATAAAAAATAATAATATTTATTTTAAATTAAATAAACAAGTAATAAATCGTTAATTGCATTTTTGAGAATATACACATACATATATTTTTTTACCATTTTTTATAATTTCAATCAAAAGCAGAAATATCCAAATTTTCACTAAATTGCGCAGAAGTGAGAAATTTTTCATTAATCCAATGCTGTTGCATTGTTTCTACCTACAAAAGCTGAAAGCTCCTTTTTCCTCTTAATATTTAATTTAATTTAATTATATTAAGATTTGTAAGTACAATACATATGCATACGCATATATACACATATGCATGTATGTATCTAGGTATGTGCATATTAAGGACTTTGTGAAAAGCCCATAAGATGTTGAGGCATCAAGTTTTCACGTAAAAATTCGGGCGAAATACATAAAAACATACATATACATATGTGTGTGAATAATTTCAAACTAGATATGAAAAATAAAAAAGTAAAATAAGTGTTTTCCATAACAAAAACATTCGCAAAAATTCCATTCATGGCATTAATCAATAAATGTTTTTATTTTACAAATTTTGTTTTGCTTTTTAGCTTCGTTACAAGAATCGAAGTTTGTCTACGTGCCAGTTGAAAGCAACATCAGCAAAATTGTGGCTGACGTGTACGCCAACAATAGAGAAATGGCGTCAATACAAAGCCACGAAAAACCAGACTCGAAAGCAGCTGCAATTGTGGTGTGGTATTGGCGGCCTATAGACCATTTTATATATGTATATGTAGATATAAACTATTTACTTATGAATTCGATGCTGGAAAGGCTAGCAAAACAAAAGAGCCAAATGCGCAAAAGTATGTATGTATGTACATAAAAAAAAATAAGGAGCAAAAACAAAATTAAATAAGCAAGCAACATCTAAAAATGAAACATTTGAAAGTACAAGGAAAATACGCCTAAACAGAACTTGTTTCGTGTCTGCACCAAGTTTACCACAGATAGCGCTTGCGCTACAAATATCGATATGGAATAAATTTCTGAGCTTTATTTTAGCAAATTTTACTGATCTATTCTTATTGAATGTGCGCCTATAAAAAAAAAATCCAAGCTATTTTCCGGATTTTTTTTTGTTTACTCACAAAAAAAATTCACACATCAGAAAAGTTAGAGAAATATGTAAGGTCAAATCTAATTGGAATTCCCAACCTAATTTTAAAGTATTTTAAAAAAATTATTCATAGCAAACAATATATATATATATATACAGCAATAAGTGAAATCACACCGACATTATCAACCACTAAAAAATCAACAAATAACGAAGTAAATAACAAAACAAAAATGAAAAAAACATAAATACCGAAAGAAGGTAAGCTGGTGTGTATCCATATATGTATGTATGTAGCAAGAGAGACGATACCAAGAAACAAAGTTGGTCGCAAGAAAAACTCTGACGCCAATTAAAAGGTAAACAACACAAAATGCTATATACTTATGTACGTATATACAAATTTACTCCAACAACAATGCCCAATAATTGATGTCCATAAATACATATTTAAACATGCATGTACATAGTATGTACTCATATATAAATTGCGGTGAGAAGTGTCAAACAAAAAATAAAAAAAAGTTAATGGGAAAAATGGCAAAAACTATTCAAAAATGGCTGAATAACATGGCAAATAAGGTATTTGCAATATTTCACATACAATAACATATTTTATATAAATTTGTAAAACTACTCACCGCCGAGCAAATCTTCGCCCATTGTTGGTGGTGTCGAGGTCATCTTGTAGGTTTTTGAATGTGTTTATTTTTTGTGGCTGATTTAAATTTTTTTCTTCGATTGGTTTTAATATCACCAATAGACGGACGGCCGGATGTGTGCGTAGTAAATTGACGTTATTTGTTGTAAAGTTGTTGGTGAATATTTTGGAGCTAGTATTCTCCGTGCAGATATTTCTTTCTTTCCTACAACTACTTATGTAGTCAAAGCAGATGAAGAATACTATAGAATGTATATTCAGTAGCACTTCTGTTTATTAAGAAAATATTACAATTATTATAAAGAGGGAGTGTATATGTATCACGACCAAGTCAATTACTTTTACAAAATGGAAGTTAATTTTTAACAGTCCCTAACTCTTCCTTTGCTCCAGTTATTTGTTACGAGCAGCAATAATTTCACAAATCGTTGCTCTTTTGAGCAATATAAATATTTACTGCAAGTTTACTCCTTTGTTTAGTAAATTGCCTATAAAATCCTTAATGCGTTTTAAAGAAATGCGCTCAATGCGAACGATTTATTTTCGATAAATAAAGATTTTTCACAAATGCAACCGTTCGCGGCGAACGAAAGACAACGAATGACACAGACGGCGATTTTTGAAAAGCACGAGCACAATTCAATTGTGATGTGGCTACCCTGAAGAAGGCAAACAAATATAGATAAAGCCGTGATTACATACACCGAAATGGCATAAGTTAATAATATAACGATGATTTTGCCTTTATATATAAAGAAGCCAAAGTAATTCTAATCCTTTATAGAACTTTAAAATGTAATATCTTTAATTTGGATAAATTTAGTTTGAACTGATGTGTATTTGTATGAAAAAAAATATTTATTTCATTCTATGTTTCTTCTGACATTCGTAAATATATGTTCTAAAATACACATCAGTGAATTAGCAGATGTAGAAACAAGCAAAATAACAAACGTGCCCTCTTTCCAGCAAAGCAAATTTTTTACGCCTTCAATTGACTCTCTAAAATGTTTAAATAACTAGACTGCAAATTAATAGGCTATTTGTTTGGCGAAAATTCTCGTAACAAAGTTTGTGTTACCTAGAAATTATAAACAGCGGCTGCGGAATTGCGGTGAAAATGAGAATCGGGGATGTGCTCCGCCGGTTGGATGCATATCCACGTACACTTGAGGATTTCAGTGTACGTACTGTAAGTGGTGCGGCAGGTAAGAGCTATCGTAATATGCGTAGAAATTAATTATTAAATAATTCCTCTTTCTACAGTTACTGTTATCAGCACTAGCATCATTGTTATGCTGATTTTTCTAGAATGTCTAGACTATATTCGTCCAAAAATCCATGAAGACCTATTTGTTGATACAACACGCAATCACAAGCTGCGCATCAATTTAGATTTGACAGTGCACAGTTTGGCGTGCAGTTGTAAGTATTTTAGCCCACATATATATTTTGAAAGAATGTTTTAGGCATTTTTATTCCGTCTACAGATGTTTCATTGGATGCAATGGATTCATCAGGTGATCAGCATTTGCGTGTTGACCATGACATTTTCAAACATAGGTTGGACTTACAGGGTAATCCGCTGAAAGAAACAGAGCCAATTAAAGAAATTGTTGCGGTTTCACCTTCAAATAAGAATTCAACATGTGGTAGCTGTTATGGAGCGGAACTTAATAGTACACAGTGAGTACTAAAGATGTGTTCATAATAGAATTTATTAAATTTCCAACTTCTATAAGGTGTTGCAATACTTGTGAAGAGGTTTTGGATTCATATCGCCAACGAAAGTGGAATGTGCAATTGGAAAAAATTGAACAATGCAAAGATAAGCACAAGCGCAATGATATTGAGGCATTTAAGGAGGGCTGTCGCGTGCAAGGACATTTGGAAGTAAATAGGGTTAGTATTTTTCTTGAAGGCAATATAAATTTATATGGTACATTATCGCATATATAATTAATACCCCCACACAGATGGCTGGAAGTTTTCATATAGCACCAGGGAACAGTTTTTCTATACGACAATTCCATATACACGACTTTCAATTTTCCGAGGTAAAATTGGATCATACAATTAACCATTTATCATTTGGCGATAAAATAGATTTTGCAAAAACCCATCCACTTGACGGACTACACACCGAATCAGACAAAGGTGAGTCTTTTTGTGTAACTTAGAATACCTTTTTTATTAAATTGTTTTAAGTATTGATAACAATGAGAACTCTATACACAACACCGCAACGGTAGATCTGCAAGCGCTTAATTTTCAAAAACAAAATATGTTTATTTCAAAAACACGTGCCTCACATTTATGTGTTTCAGTAATGAGTAAACTTAAGTCTTTTAAACGATTAACCAAAACTTAACGTAATGTAAAAATTCCAAAAATATGTTTGCCATTGCTCACACCAAAACGATAAAGGCTTAGCAACGTATGCCGGTTCCAATAGCCATGAAAGTGCCAAATGTGCCACCACCTTGTATCATTACTTTTCCCACGTTATTAATCAATTCTCGTCCGCGCAAGCCATACCTGTAAAGAATAATAGTAAATTAAAGACTGAAGCCCTTTACGCTCTCTTTGAGCCCTACAATACATTATGTAATTAAATAAAGTTGCATCAGCAGCTTTACTTCAAATTCGTAATATTTACCGTAAAGCGGAAAATCCCCCGAAAAGCGCACCACTAGCCATGCCCACACAGAAACCAATCGTGAAACCAGTCTTCATTTTATCAAAACATGTTGGTCCTTGTGCTTGACCGTAAGCTCCACTAGGCAACGGCATTGTAGTTCAAAATGTAAACTGATTTTCGAGAAATTTTGTTTTGAAATCGGGGTTTTTTCTTAGAGTATAGAGTACACAAGCGCCAAATGTTAGGCTTCTGAAAACGTGATCTTTTTATTCGTTTTATAGTTGCTTTTAAGTAATTTTGTAAATTCTGGAATTTATTCCCCTACAAATTACACGCGATTTCGTATTGTGCTGATGAACTTTTCTTTATGGCGTGAAATGTCAGAATGACAAATAGAAGTGAAAGCGAATCTGCGATAAATATGTAGAAAAGAAAATAATTTGAGTCTACACGATATATGTGTTTGATGTTCTAATTATGCTACTAACATCGTATATTGTTTATTATTTAACACACATAAATGCATAACTATTGATTTGAAAGCACACACCCAAAAATGATTTTAAACAATTTTTAGCTATGAAAATAAAACCAATAAAAATCAAAACAAGCGGAAACAGAAGTTGTGCGTTTGGGCATACAGCGCCATCTAAATCTGAAATATTGTAATGTTAGCGAAAGTAGTAACAATGAGTCTTGCACACTACTTCCTTATCCGCTTATAATTTTTTATGATGGCTTTTTTGCAGATATAAAAAGTGAAATGTACAATTACTATTTAAAAATTGTGCCTACGTTGTATGCGAGGATTAACCACCCACCCATACATACGAATCAGTTCTCAGTGACGCGCTACAAGAAGGATCTCTCTAATAGTGAGCGGGGTATGCCTGGAATTTTCTTCAGTTATGAACTATCACCGTTGATGGTGAAATACGAAGAAAAGAAAAGGTAATTAAAAATAAAACATTACATCAATTACATACATATTAATAATTAAAATCTTGCTTTAAAACAGGTCCTTCGGTCATTTTGCCACAAATTGTTGTTCCATAATTGGTGGTGTTTTTACAGTAGCTGGTATTATTGCCGTTTTCCTAAACACCTCATTGGAAGCATTGCAGCGTAAATTAGAAATAGGAAAGATGAGTTAACGAAATACACTGTGTACATAACACATTCCGATTTTTTCTCAAATCTAATATGTATGCATGTATTTATGTATATATACGATTTTTACAGACTGTATATTATTGCCACTGACCTCTTACGTACTGTATGGATTTTATGTTTTTGCATATGTATTTCTATGCATTGCTGATTTATTAATGATTGCATAAAATCTGCGCACATTTTGGTGCTAGAATTTTAGTTGCTCTAAGAATCTCATCAAATCAAATAGTAACGCTTTATTTTATGTTTGACCAATTTAATATGATTTTATTTCAATGTTAGTACATTGTATCATGTTGAAATTTAATGCTTAACTTTTCTTAAATCTCTTATAATTTGTATGCCCTTTATTCACTTAAAACGCAAATAATTTGTACAGTAGTTGTATTTACCATCCAAAAGTTATACTTTTTTTTAGACCAAATTAAATATATATATTTGTATAAACTCGATAAAGTTGTTTTAACTTTAGCTTTAAGTAGTACGTTTACCCACAGAAATGAAACCAGAAGTATTGGAAAAGTATTTAGCATTCTGCTCTGTTTGCGATTTCTCCGCTGCCTGTGGATTTACAATTTCAAGCCCTTGTAGCGGAGTGAACGCTACACTGGAAGCTGTACCGGAAATTTGCCGTTTTACCGTAGTGCTACCGCCATAGACCTGTTGTTTCTGTAAATTCTTTTGTAGTGTTTTGCTTATGCGCACCTTAGTCTTTTCATCAACTTGTGGCAAACGTATGCGTCCAGTGCCAGTTTTGCCAATAGTGCCGCGTGAATAGCCTAAGTCCTCCTGATAGGCGTCTTCTTCGATCTAAACAAAATATTAATTTGATTACTTGAAATTCTATAATTTGAAATTTAATATAACAATACTTACATCACCGAAATTCATTCGATTCGCTTGCTTGCGGAATTCAGTAAGAGCATAACGCTCCTTCATTTTACGTACTCGTTTGCCACCACGCTTTTTCTTGCTACCTTCAATGGGTTTACTTAGCGGCTTAATGAATTTAACCGGTGGTGGTTCCTGTAATTTATCCAACTTCTTTTCTATATCTTCTTTAAATTTCAAACCAACTTCCCCATGTACGCTCTCATGGCAAGCGTCGACACGTGCAGCGAGCACTGCTTTAGCGGCAACAAGGCGTGCTGCTTTGCGGCGCAGATCCTGTAGAGAAGAAAACTTGAGCATATATGTGTATCGAATATTTTATACATATCTATCTACAAACCGGTGCTGTATCCTGTACAATTTGTGAGAAGTAAACATAGCCGGTGTGGGGTAACATTTGAGTTTTTGAAAACCTATAATTCTTCGAAAATAAACATCAACTCGAAAATTAATTGTTACTAATATTTACCCCGCTAAGGTTTTCTTTTGCGAACCTAATACTTGCACGTTGCAAGAGGGCATTTTGGAAAGTTTCGTTAAGCCTCCTGCTATACCCAATAATTTTGCTGCAGTCGAAGCCCCAACGATCATCGATAGATTAGGCGCTATGAAAGTCATCCTACTCTCAACGTATTCATATATTTGTGACTTGAAATTATTTAAATCGATAGCCATTTCACAAGCCTCGTCGATTTGTGCCTTTTCGGCGGGGGTTAGCTCAGTGCTAAATGCATACATATATTCAAACAAATATTATTTAAGACAACTATATCTTAAATATAATTTTGTATAGTAACTTACCCCTGCGTTGTTGACGCGGTGACTGAAACAATCATAATGGTTGCTTGTGTTAATATGGCTTGCAATTTTTCATTATTTTTCACCTGATCCAGATCATTGCCCAATTCTTTAACAGCATATAAATATTCTATTTCCCCGACAATCAGTGAGTCCAATTCGGGAAATCGCTTCTGGTACTTCTCTTTGGTAAATTTGTGTATAATAGCTGTAAGGTAGAAAAAATTACAACTTGCACTTATTTCACAACAAAAAAAAATATATATGTATATCAATGAACACTTACAAATTTCATTATCTATATCAACGGCGATGGCGTTGGCTTCAACTATAAGCTGATATTCCGGATCGGACTCCACGTTACCAAGCATCTCTGCAGAGGTGCGTTGCCTACTGCCATACTGCTCGATTTGCTTCAATACAAATTGCAGTCGTTCGGAGTCATGTAACTTACAGAGATCACGTATGGACTGCACCTGCACATCAACTTCCATTAAATTAATCTGCGGTTTGAGCAGCTTTTCCGTAATTTCCTGTGCCTTTGTTGGCTCCTCTTCCTCATCCATCTGCAAAAAAGCTTCCTGTATAAAGAGTGTTCGAATTTTATATCGCTTACTAACATTCTGCAACTCGTCCAATTCGTTGTCATTGTCCTCTTCAAGATCAGCTAATAGTTCGTCAGCTAAAGACATTTTTGGAGATTTTTATTTAACTTTAACTCCAGTAAAAGTAATCCAAAAAATGTTCACTTTTCAGAAATTAATGCAAAAAACGTTCTCAATGCGTTTGTTTGACAACTAAAAATCAGCTGTTCGGTATTTTTGACAACCTAGCAGGTAAACAAAGACAAATGCCAGAGTTGTCTGGCCTCATTTAAATATGAAATTTGTTAAATATAAAATATATAATCAGTTAAGATCTCTAAAATCTAATTGAACCATGCATATAACTTACATGTTAAATATAAAATTATGTCTATTTCTACATGAAGGTAATTAATTTTTTTTATGCAGAATTCAATTTTACCAGACCGCCTAACGGGTAATCATTGTAGTGCGAAATTTTAAATGTCATTTGATTTCGCGGGTCTTTGTTACAATAAACAAAAATAAAAAAAAAGTAATTGGCGTCGTTTCGCGCAAGACGAAAATTAGGTACCAGGTGGTTTGTTGTAAAATATTTCATTTCAACTGAAAATGTCGAAGAAGTTAAATAAGAGTGGTTCCGCTGGAACACCAGGTAACAACCTTTTCAAATATTTTTCGCGTTCACCGGCTACGGCTGAAAAGAAAAAAATCCCTAACACCCCTACTGAGGAAGAAACAAAAAAGATTGGAATTAAATCTGAGAAGAAAAACCATACAAATGGAGATAGCATTAATAGTGATGAGCCGTCAGCTAAACGCAAACTTGAAAGCGAACTTAAGCTGAATCAGAGTGCATTGATTGATGCTGCTGATGATGAAGAAGAGAGTATTACAGTCAAGCGTTTGATCAAGAAAAGACATCGCATAATATTATCCGACACTGACGATGAAGATGTTAGACCAAAGAAAAAGCAAAGGAAGGAGAGTGAGAAGGATGACTTCAAACCAAGTGATGAAGATGATGATGAGAGCAGTTCACAGGAAAGTTCGCCCGAGAAAGAAAAATCACCTCAAAAGGTATATTTCATTAATTAATTATTTAATAAGCAGAATTGAAAATGGTGCTACAAATTATTTAACTTACTTTATAGAAAAATAGTGACGAACCTCAACAAAAGAAATCTAAAAAGGAAAAGGGCAGTTTCAAGGAGAAACTCGCTTCATTACAAGCGTCGGCGACCATCACAGATGCAAAAACTACAGCCAAAAATGATGAAAAATATGAAAAGCTAGTGTGCAGTACATCCACATTGGATGAGCCTGTAGTATGGCCACATCAAAAGCTCGACTTTTTACAACCAGATAAAATAAAAGATAAGCAAGGCAGGCGTCCCGAGCATCCAGACTATGATCCTACCACGCTACATGTGCCGGAAAAATACTTGAATTCATTATCACCGGTAAGTTTGGTAGAAACGGACCATACAATTTTTAAAACTACTAATTTGCTTCAATCTTAGGGTGTGCGTCAGTGGTGGGTCTTAAAATCCGATAACTATGATTGTGTGCTGTTCTTTAAAGTAGGAAAATTCTATGAACTGTACCACATGGATGCCGAAGTTGGTGTGCAAGAGCTGGGCTTTGTTTATATGCGTGGTGAATTTGCACACTCTGGTTCACCGGAAGTAAGTTTTGACAAAATGTCCAGCATATTAGTTGATCGTGGTTATAAGGTAGCTCGTGTGGAGCAAACCGAAACTACTGAGATGATGAGTGAACGCTGCAAAAAGACCAAACCGACAAAGTTCGATAAAGTAGTCCGTCGCGAAATTTGCCAGATATCCAATCGGGGCACACAAGTATTTGGCACACAATGCCAGATAACGCCACATTATCAGCCAAATTACATGTTAGCTGTAGTTGAAAAGGTATAACTTGTAGCTTCATTTTATATATTTGATATATGAATATTATTATGCACTTTAAGAATGAAACTAATGGCGGCAGTAAATATGGCATCTCCTACGTAGACACCTCTATAGGTGATTTTTACATTGGCGAATTTGAAGATGACAAAAATGGTTCGCGTCTGTTAACTTTACTTTCACATCACATGCCAGTTTTGGTAAGCGAAATTATTATAATAAGATCACCGTCAGTATTTCATAACTTGTTTATTAATGTGTTTTAGTTGCTTTTTGAACGTGCCTCACTTTCTGAGCGTACGCAGGAAATCTTTCGCACTATGCTTTCCGGCATCATTAAAGAGCCTTTAGCCACCAATGGCTCTAAAGTGTGCAGTGCAGAGAAGACACTGAAGCATCTGGCCGAAAAATATTACGCCAAATATTCTGAAGACCCTAACAGTGGCGATGATTGGCCTTTAGCGTTACGTACAATGCAATCTGAGTCGGATCATCTGGGCCTAACGCCACGTGATGGTTGCAAGCTCGCTTTGAAAGCGCTTGGTCAATGCATAATGTATTTACAACGTTGTCAACTGGAAGAAAAGGTACTGCCCATGGCACGTTATCATCTTTACACACCACCAGACATGTTAAATGAGTTGGCAACTGATAAAAAATTGCAAACAATTAAGCAATATTCCGAACGTCGGCGCCATATGGTTATCGACGCAACTACGCTAGCTAACCTTCGTATTACAGGCGAGGAGTATTCGCTACAGGCCACGCTAGATAGTTGTTGCACCAAATTTGGCAAACGTATGCTGCATCACTGGATTTGTTCGCCTAGCTGTGAATTGGATGTGATTGTTGGACGTCAGGAGGCAATTACCGAATTAGTTGAGCATACAGGGGAGTTGCAAGAACTACGCGCTTTACTCGCACCAATGCCTGACTTTGAAAGGCATTTGGCTCAAATTCATTTGTTTGGTAATAAACGCATTTCACAGGATCATCCAGACGGCCGTGCCATACTCTTTGAAGAGAAGTTGTATAATAAAAAGAAGATACAGAATTTTATTGGTATATTAAAGGGATTTACAGCACTCATGGAAATACCAAAGACTTTAAGCGCCTTTGAATCACCGCTCATAAAGCGATTGACGCAGCTGCAGCCGGTAGGTGGTTTCCCCAACATGTCAAAACAATTGGATTTCTTTAAGGTAGGTACTTGAAATTGAACAATATCTAATATTTGTTGTTCCAAAATTTATTATCCTTCCACCCAGAATGCATTTGATCACGAAGCAGGCGCAAAAACTGGCGTGATTGCGCCTGAGCAAGGTGTGGATGCAGATTACGATGAAGCATTAGAAAATATCAAAAGAGTAAATGATACATTCAAAGAGTATCTTATTGAACAAGAGAAATTTTTTGGTTGCCGCATAACACCTGGTGGTGATAAGAATCGCTTCCAACTTGAGGTGCCTGAAAGTTCAGCTAGAAAAGCGGGCAAAGCTTATCAATTGGAGGGCCAACGCAAGGGCAACAAACCCATACGTCGTTTCTCTACGAATGAGACGCGTGTAAGCTGCTTCGAACCAAACAAAACTTTAATTTTTACTATATGAAAAATCATTACAGGCTTTGGTGAAGCAATTGCAACATGCTGAAACTGAACGTGATGTCATACTAAAAGATTTGTCTAGGCGTATTTTTGAAAAATTCTCAAAACATTATGAACTCTGGAAGCAATGCGTTGATTGTGTCGCAAATCTTGACGTTTTAGCCTCATTGGCTGAGTATGCGCGCGGACAGCAAGTTATATGTGTGCCTGAGTTGCATGAACAAGCAGCTGAACAGCAGCCGTTTATATACATAGATGAGGGTTATCATCCTTGCGCATCGAGCGACACTTTCATACCAAATGGCCTCATACTTGGCACGGGTGAGACACAGGCACCGCTTTCCATACTTACAGGTCCAAATATGGGCGGTAAGAGTACATTAATGCGACAGGTTGGCTTGTTGGTCGTAATGGCACAGATTGTAAGTCTTATGGGAAAGATAAATACGTACATATGTACATATATATATATATATATAAATTTATTTATTTTACAACTAGGGCGCCCATGTACCAGCAGCACATTGTCGCATGACACTCGTCGATCGTATTTTTACGCGTTTGGGCGCACAGGATGACATCATGGCCGGGCAGAGTACATTCTTGGTAGAATTGAATGAGACATCATTAATTTTGAAACATGCCACTGCTAACAGTCTCGTACTGCTCGACGAATTGGGTGAGTAACGCGAAAATTTCTCTATAAGATTACATTGAGTTAAAAATAATTTTGGAAACAGGTCGTGGCACTGCCACATATGATGGCACTGCTATAGCCGCTTCAGTGGTTAACTATCTCGCCGATTTGAAATGCCGCACGCTGTTCTCAACACATTATCACAATCTTATTGAGTATTTCCATAAGGACACTCGCATTGCTTTGGGTCATATGGTGAGTTTTGAAATTACAACCATATTTTTTATTTTTCACATAACAATTTTTTTACTTTTGCTTTTGCAGGCCTGTATGGTGGAAAATGAGGACACTGACGATCCTACACAAGAAACAGTAACATTCCTTTATAAATATACAGCTGGCGCTTGTCCAAAATCATATGGCTTTAACGCTGCCAAGCTGGCTGGTATGCCACAACCAATTATTAAACGCGCTTTTGAGGTTTGTTGGTTTTCGAATATTTTGCTTTAATGCCTTTTCTATTTCAAACATAATTTGTTCCTTATTTTAATTTTCAGCTATCCAAACGCGTTGAGGCTATTGCACTTAAGCGAAAGGTCTTGTCTAAAGTTGTTGCAGGCGCCGGTGTTGGTAGCAAATGCAATGATTTGAAAGAAATTAAAAATCTACTATTGCAGCTAAAAGCTTGTCGTGTTTAAAAATTCTTTGCTGTTTGTTTTGTTTATTCATGTTTGTTAAGTCCGCCATATTCATTTATACTATGCATACGAATATTTCAAAAATATATACACATACCCAAAATATAGACGCTATTAGCCATTGCAAAAATACTGTAGTTTCTGTTTTAAATCTGGCGGGTTAAATGCGTATTGTTACTTGGGGTTTTGGGCAACCAAACTAGATCTACGATTCTTTCACAGATCGTACTCAGGTAGTTGAAACAACTGTTTTCCTAAATAATGTTAGTTTATTTGCATAAATAAATGCATATGTGTTTGGTTTAATTTGATTTTATTTTGCATTTTTCTTTCATTAACTTTTACATTCATCGCTAAAAAATATCACAGTAAAATAATATTACAATTAAACAAATGCTTAATTAAAATATTGCTTGAAGATCAAGAATAAAAAAGTACATAAAAATCACAATTGAAAGAAAAAGAAGAAATTCACAATTTATTCCTGCATCTGTCTGTATTTATCTTTAATAAATCCAAATTGTAGGTAAACACTTTCTTTTTTGTGCCAAAACACATGCACACACAAATACGTTCTGGTTCGCAGATATATACATATAAGTAATAGCTAATATTGTCAAATACATAATAATAGATAGATTATATGTTTTGTAAATATTAACTAAGTAAAGCAGCAGCAAAGAAAAAAATAGGAATTTGAGTTGACTGATTGTTTTGTGTTGCATACGCATTTATGTAAGTACAAATGCTTTCGTATGTAGGTATGTTTTAACAATGAAAAGCGCATAGTTTATGTATGTGGGTATGTAAGTGATTTGTCGGGTTTTGTATGTATGTGTGCAGTGAGTTACAATTGATGGTAATACATACATATTTATTTAAGTGTTGTTTTTTTGTATTCATTTCGGTTTTATATTGAATTACAGCTATTTTAGGTATATTGTAGTTTTGTCTTTGTATTTTGTTTTTTTTTTTTGTTTGCGAGTTAAGGTTTAACGGCTTTGTATGTTTTTCGGTGTTTGAATGTTATTTCTTTTGAAATTGTATTGCATAAGATTTACAGATTATAAGTGGATTTTGTATAAAAATTAATAAACACAATATTTTTACAGTAGTTAGCACAAAAATTAATTCAAACCCTATAAGTAAACGGGGTTTCTTTATATTATTGAAATTTTTAAAAAAGTGCTTAGTTTCAAAATGGTAAAAAATATCAAAAAATTCAATTCATTTGCTTTATTTAATATTAATAAAATATAATTTTTTAATATTTTAGTAATAATATTGTACAGAAAATAACCGAAAAATTATTGAAATTATGTAATTTTACTGATTGGAAGATTCTTATGGGTAACTACCCGCTAACTCAAACACGCAAGCAATCATCAAAAACATGTATGCATGTATGTATGTACAATGTAATACCAAAAACATACTTTAATCCTTTATAGTTTACTTAAAACTACACTTTTACTTAAAAGCGAGTGTACAAATGTATGTATGTTAGTAATTATGTATGTGTTTTTTATGTTTGTGGTTATGTGCTAATATACTAATTATTTTTAAATACAAATGTAAAAATTATTTTGTGTACACCTACATACGAGTAAATAAAAGCAATTGAATTTTTAATTATTTTCTTTTGCTTTTTAATTTTAATTTTCACGACCTTCGGATGATACGTTTTAAATACTCTTTTATATGCACATTTTCATACATATGTATGTACACACAATTAGTTTCTTATAATTTTTTTTTACAATTTTGTAGATTTTATAAATAACATATTATATTGCTATTGTGTTAAATCAGATATTTATCGGTTTTACTTTGGTATACGCACATCAATAAAAAAAATTTTGCTTAATATTAGCATTTATTTTTTTTTTTTTTATAATTATAAGCTTATAAAAGCTTAACTTATGCATATGTGTATGTATGTGTGTATTTATTCAATAATGTATGCAAGTTTTTGTGTGCGTTTTTCATTTGATTTGGTTTCGAGATATTTCATTTTTTTTTTTAATTTATAAGGATATGAATTTAGATATAAAAAATCTTACAAAATGGGATAATTAGCATATGATGCGCTCTAAATATTTTGTTGTTGTTGTTGTTGTGGTAGGTAAAAAGCACACTCAAATATACGCAATTTTACTTTCTAAAGTCTCATACACATACAGTTAAATATACAAATGAAGGTATATTTTTTGCAACTTAAATTAAAATTTTTTTTTATAAATGTCGAATTTTTTCACCTTTTTCTTTTAAATAGTCAAAGAGAAAATCAAAATATTAATGTTATTTCTGCGTTTAAGTAAACTTGATATATTTAAATTTGGCTATATTTATAATAAAAAAGTGAATAATAGCTTATTTTAAATGAATTGAAAAAAATATAAGTGATCCTTTTATTCAACTTAACAAATGATTCATAAAAAGAAATCAGGAAATTTATTTAGAAATTAAATATAAAGTAATTTATAAACTGTATTTCTGTAAAAATATTTTGAATGAAAAATATATTTAGATTTTAGCAAAAAAAAAAAAAATAAAAACTTATTTTCTCCTACAAAAAGTAAGAATCCTTAAAAATTATAAAATATGTGTTAAAGCAATTTTTAATTTTTATATTTGAAAAAATTTTTATCCATCTATAAAATCTATAAAATAAATTTAAACAAAATAATAAAAAAATTAAAAATAATTAACCGTTAAGAAAATGGTTAAAATTTATATCATAGCAGTTTTCATTCCCTTTTTGAGAGGAAAAATAATTTATTTCAAATTACAAATATATATGTATATAAATAATAATATTTGTCTAAAATTTAAATTCAACAAATCGAATATTAAAAAAAAAATTGGAAATTGTTTGGTATTTTATTTGAAAATGCAATCTGAAGTAATTTAAAAACAGCATTTCTACATAAAAATTTTAAAAACAAATAAAGATTTAAATAACAAAATCTAAAAATTGTTTTCTGAAGCTGAAATAACCAAAAAACTAATAATAACCCTGAAAAGTTAGAAAAGATGGATCAAAAATATTTTTAAATTAAATAATTTTTCAGCTAAAAAGTAAATTTAGACTAAAAATACAAAAAAAAAAACTAAATATTTTTAACCTCAAGAAATTTATCTAATATACATATGTATGTATCCATTTCCATTTGAGTTCTTAAAGGTAGAAATATTGTTTTTATAAACTAAATATTTTTTTATATTAAATGTACAAATAATAATATTTTTATTCAATTTGAATCCAATAAAACGAACATTTCCGCAATTCCGGAATTTATAATAAATGAAAGAAAAAACAAAGTATATACATATATGTATATGTATAATTAAATTTTTTTACACTCCTTTTAGTTCTTCAAAGGGATTGTTTAATGTCCACCCAATGTTATTTTTTAACACTTTATATCCATTGCAAAATTTAGATAGAGAGGTTTATTAAATCCAATTCCTAGGTCTTAAACGTCTCAACTGCGACATAATATACCTTTATTTTTAATTGGGAAACAGCAATAGAAGCTACATATAGTTTAAAGTAAAAGTAAAATATCTATTTGTGGCTGTCAACTAAATAAATTATAATTATTGCACAATTTATGAATAATAAAAAAATTAATTTAATAAAAAAATCCAGAAGGTTTAGTCATTTTGATAGAAGATTAAATTTCAATAGCATTCTTCAATGAATACACAGTTTAGCACATTTATTTTGAAGTAAAAATTAATTAAAATTTAAATTATTTTTTCAAAGTAAAAAAATTTACTTTCGGTAATTTCTATACTCGCAATATCTATTACAATTAAACTACATACTAGCTTTTGTATATGTATATGTGTGTTTTGCCGGATGTGTGCGTTTTCATGTATGTACGTATGTCTACAATATTCCTGCCTGACAACAGGACACTAATCCTAAAATCGACCACGCTGACGCACGCACTGAATTGAGTCGAGCTGATCGCCATATAAACACACACACTGTACACAGTCATACGCAGCCAGGTCAGCATGCATCCGCCCAACCATGCGCTCTCTCTCACACATGCAACTCAATTCAGCATTCATCAGCATGCTTTTTTATTTTAATTATTCATTTTTATTCACTGCTATGCTGATTCCTCCCTCATGAAGTTTGTGTTATAATAAATAAGCCTTAAACTACTACATACATATCCTACTACTTATTAACATATTCAATAACAACGCTTGCAATTGCCAGCCAATAACCCAACTGCATTCGCCACTAATCGTCTCGTATGACATCTTTGCGCGCCTTAAAATTACGCCACGAACCATTGGTGCAAACACCAGCGCCACGCCACCAATCGTTTACGTCCGTGTACCAGCGCGGCTTACGTAAAGACTCCTCATCGTGTAGGGCGGCACATACACGACACCAATAATAGGTATTGATGAATTCTCCCGTGCCCTTCCATTTGAAATACGAATTATACAGTTCGTCATCTTTGTCGAGTATGTGCAGATATTCGGCTAACTCCTTGGGCGAGGCAAACTCATCCACGTGGATGTAGGAACGATGTGGTGAGCTCACTTCATAATCCTCCGGTCGTGCACCCATTACAATTGGCAAAATATTACGTTGTAGTGCGTTGACGAAGAATTTTTCGGTGATGTAGTCTTTGCAGTTGGAATTTTCGAAGGCGAGGTAAAATTTATAATCATGATCGAGTAGTTCGAAACACTTGTCGGCGGTATTGCGAGAACATTTGTAATTGCCGCAAACGCCATAGATGTCAACCTGTGGGAGTGAGATGGAAGTTGAGACTGAGTGATGAGTCTACGATGTGTCGTGTGACTTCTATTGGTTACTAACATAAGGGTCCCTTTTAAAATTACAGCATTTTTTGCAGAAGGTTAAGGAACTGAGGAGCCATAATAGCCAAGTAATTAGCAAGGTGGACCGTCATTCGGAAGGTCAGGGCTCGAGTCCAAAATTATATGAAAATAATTTTTCTTATTACGCTTGCTCTTCGGCAGGGAGTGTCAGGCACTCCTAGTTCTGACATAAAATGCAAGGTCCTGGTAAGCGGTTCGGACGCAGCTTAGAGTAAATTGTATGGTCACCCATTCGTTGGAAAAACAACCAAACCCGCATAACACAAATTGATTGAGAGGCTCGGACGAAAATCGCTTCAGCGGTCACAAATCTCCAGTTATATGTTGGAGACATCTCGAGATGTTTGGTTAATCATGCCAGGAGGCATTTTGAAGTTTAGGAGTGCCATATGAGCTGTATATATATATTTTTCTATGCAGGAAGGAAGAAGGAAGGAAATTCTAGGTCCTTTGTAATTTATTCCTTTTTTACAGGATTGTTTACCGCCAATCGAAGAATTACACGAGTGGGCTTACCGGATACAGAGAGTCAGATAGTCTCTAAATTTCCTATATCGGACTCCGAGGATAATAAATCAAAAATTGTATACTAAGAGAACATGGATCTTAGAGCTATCGTCAATAGAACTCTATTAGCCAATTTGTAAGCCCTTGAGCAAGAGTTATCAAGCTTGGCTTATCATATATGGAATATTCAAAGAAGACCGCAATACTCACATCTATATACTTTTGCAATTCGTGCGCGAACTGTAGACGTCCATTGCGTGCGCCACAATTCGAGACAAACCAAGCAACTTTTTTCGTTTTGTTTAGAGCATAATTGTGATCTTGCTCTATTTGATTAATTTTCCTATCATAATAGACCCACTTCTCATAAGGCGCCACAATATCGCTGTCACGCCTGAAAATAAACGAGAGATTAAAACATAAAGTGAATGACAAGCCAAAATGGCCTTCCTACCTATAAGTGGCCGTCCAATTGATGGCGTCTGGTACTTTCACATTTTGTGTATGATATGGACATTCCAAATAATATAGCATGCTAACCTGCTGCGGATTCGATGGTCTGCCAAGGCCGGTTGGTATAAAATGATCCTTATACAATATCATATCGGCCTTATCGGCAAGACCACGATTCGATGTCAGTTCGCAGGTGTCCACAGGACATTTGGAGCGGAGGAAGACGTCACGACCTGCATTAGAGAATAAAAGTTATGATAATAAAGTCTGTAAATTTTGCCCATACATTACCTTGCTTAACATTCCATGGACCCAGCCCATTGTAGAGTAATATTGTTTTCAGTCGTCCACTAGCGCGCACCTCTTCATAGTTCGGTGGCACATACATTAGCTGATTAACGATGCGATCGCTGTGCGGATTTTGATAGGGAAAGAGACGCGCACCTAGCATATTTTGCTTCTTGCCGCGTCCGCCCGTGCCTTTGCCGCGTTTGACGGTGCGCGTTGGCGCAGCTGGCTTTGGATAATACTCACCTTGACGGAAGAACCACAGACGCGCGCCATTACTCTCTAATGGCACCTGGCCAGGATGTAAATGTTGTTGTTGCTGTTGTTGTTCACTCTGTTCACTATTCGCTGCATCAGATTGCGACGGATTGTTAGTAACGCGCGGAACACCATTCCCCACCTTCACATTATCCACACCATCCAACTCCTCGGCACCATCACCGGCCTGAAGCGCCGCTTCTCGATTGCGGGGCTCAAAAGTGATAGCGCTGTGCGTATAAGATGTTACGGCCTGCTGTGCTTGTTCGTCTTGTGGGCGCGCATGTGCTGACTGTGGCGGGCTTTTAGTTTTCCAAATTTCATACTCACTAAAAATGAATGTTTCGAAAACCGCAATTTCAACATGCCAAACTGACGCAGACGCAGTAGAATTCAAAATTCAACTTACCGCACATTAAGTCCGATTATGAGCAGTAACGCACAAATAAGCATAAAGAAAAAATATTTCTTTAAAGAAAACTTCGGACGACGCATATTTTGTGCGTGCTTCTACTTGCCGGATAGAGTTTGTGGTTCTTTAGCGCTCGTTATGTAGAACCGTTGTGTGGAAGGCACTTCTCAACCGCCGCCTTGCCTCGTCAACGACATTTACAAAATGTTTTCCATTTCTCTACAAAAAAAGGGAAAAAGAAATTTTATAAAAATACTTATTCGTTGTTATTGGGAATTTCATGTGAACAAATTTTGATGAAAATTTCGATATTTTGTTTTTGCTCCGCACGAATTTTATCACATGAAATTCCCAAGAAGACCGATTAAAATGCAGAAATTGAAATTTTAGGGCGGTTACATTCAGATTTCTGTGCTGTGTGCTCTGTTCTGTGTTAACTCAGTCGTTAGTTCTCTTTTAGTGCAATTCAAAGCACAAAAAGTGTAGCAACGCATGTTTCGATTGGGCTGAGGGAACTTTGGTTTGAACAAATGGTTTTTTAAACGCGACGTGGCTTCAGCTGAGTCAAACCCAAAAGCTGGAATCAGTAAATAAATTATTTATAAACACATGCAACCACATATCTATATGTATTTACAAACTTATGTAGATACATACATACACATATATTGCAGTTTGTTTTGATGGCCAGTCTTATCAAGTGATTTTTGCCAAATAGCTGGGCTAATGATACAACGCATGCTATAACAGTTTTAACAAATAATGCTATCGATGATTTCTCTATTTTTTTTATTTAATTTCTTTATTCAATTAAAAAGAAAAAAGAAGAGCGGTCTTCGGTCATACTACCGTAGTCCGTTTTCGATGAAAACCTCATATCTGAACAAATCGTTTGTATGAGGTTTAAATGATATAATTCTTCGATTTTGATAACTTTCGGGGGCAATGTTTACTTATATATACCAAATTTCATACTCTTGCATTATTGTTGTACTACGAAATGTTGATTGTCCAATGAGGCATAAACGGAAATTCGAAACACATTCATGGCAGGGTCAAAATTGACATAACCTACCAGCAGCGTGATACATTTTTTTCTAATTGCTGCTGAGCTGCCAAATTTTTTCCAAAGAATTCCGAACTGATATCATTTCTTCTTTGGAATATATGTATGTATGTAAGTATTTAACAAGAATTTTTACATTCCAGTTGAACTTTTAACTGGTTCTCGACTATCTCCTTATCGTGTACTCTTCCACACGCCTATCGAAATAATTTGGCATGAAATTATTTGGCTGCAATGACTGAGGTGAGGTAGGAAGTTAATCGAAAATTCTATGAAAAGATGCAGCGAATCACAGAATCTAGATCGGGTCACGCTCAGGTAGGAAACAAAGTGGTGATCTGGTGACTGATATTCAAATACTCAAATATCAACTTCTTTGCCCAATATGATAGCATGAGAGCACGCCCGACGATATAACCAAACAGTCTTTTTTACCTTACGGTGTGAAAGATTAAGGCCCATTCTCAACGAGCTGGTCGAGCATTGTCAGTAATGCTTGAGATCTACGTATATGTTCCAGATATTCACCATGCGATAAGTCGTGCAAAAGATCCGTAAGGAAATGATCGACACACAACACATTTGCTTTCGAGAGCACAAGAGGTTTACCTCTATTCAGCTAGGTCGGAATTTAGTATTCCCGCAAAACTTATACAGCTGTGTAAACTGTTGTTGGGCAACACCAATAACTCATTCGGAATCAAGAATGACCTCTCCGAGATGCACAACACTAAACAAGGTTTCAAACAAGAAGACTTGTGTGTGAATTAAAAATACAAGCTGCAGAGCTTATAACTGGGAAGAAAGTGAGGAGAATGGGTGTTGGGCGAGGGCAACACGAAATAAATATATCCCGTCATCAAATAAACAGACAGCGACAAGCATTAGCACCAATAATCATATCCGACCTGAAAATCAAAGCAGCATAACCTTTGCCAAAAGATTCCACTTTGGACTGAGTCTGCAACCCGTCCTGCCATATAGTGAAGAAGAATAAGCAATCACGACGTCTGATGAGTCGACTTAAGGGTGTTCGAGGTTTTGTAGACGATTTATGGACTCTTGCACATTGGCAACGTCAATGAAACGATGAGATGTACTAGATATTCAGCGATGTTAAAACAACTGAATCGATTTTTTACCCGAACGGCTGATGGAACTTTCTATTTCATATAAGATATACACTCGAAAGGGTTAACCTTCTCAGCCGAGGGGTGATCGCAATGGAAAAGTTGTTTTCTATATTTTCTTTGTTCATGATTCAAACGCATGACCTTCAGCAGGGTAGCATGACTTGGAGAAAGCAGCTACAACTGCCACGTCATGTCCGGATGAATGAAAGCTCCCCAGTTTTTGATATAGTAATTACTGATAGTAGCCTAGAAAGAGGTAGACTTCCAATTCCTTAGAAAGATCAAGAGGATAAATCAGGAGTGTCTCTATTTGAAAGGGAAAACGACTGGCCCATCATTACTGTATATATCCCGCATAGAATATTTCATTACACATACTTTACTTTTCAGTGTCACACCCTGTATTTGAACATGCCACGCGTCATTTAACTTATATTTTGGTTTCAAAAACTCAAATTGCGACATATTTACGTCACACAGATCATTATTTTTCACTTATAATAAATTTAAATTTTAATCCAAAAAAAAAAACAAAAATAATAATAATAATATAATAATTACTCAAAATTTATAGTATTTACAATTTAACATGCTTAATTACTTGGGGACATAAATATGGACATAAATGAACTTGTTGTAGGGCAGGCCGGTTATATCTACTTTAGCTTACAAATGAATACCCTACACAACATAAAGACTTTTAAAGAATTTTAGTACAACAAGTAAATGTTTATTTTCAGAAATAGGCATTCTTTGTGTACTCGGCTTCGGCATAATAAATAATAAATATTTCACATACGAGTACAAATATACATGTGCATATATCAATTAAAAATAAAAAATATTTTTGCTAAAAAATTAAGTTTTCTTGTAAAAACAGTTAGAACTTATTTGTACATACATAATACTGTAAATATGGGACACAGTCTGACTGCATTAAGTGGCTCTAATGCAAATTCCGTTTTTTAGCCCTGACAGACAGCACATATGCGCATTTATTTATCATCGGATTTGACAAACTCTTTGAGCTCGAATTGGAAAAGAGAAATAAAAAACAATTATATATTGTATAAATACATTTACTCGTATGTGTATATATTTATAATCGACGCTTTGTAACCGCTGAAGCGATTTTCCGCCGAGCTCCCCCTCCAATTAGTGGTTTTGCGTCTTGATATTCTCCCAACAAATGGAGGGACCTACACAGTTTATACTAAGTCGCCTCCGAAAGGAAACAAGGATTGTTTTTTTTTATGAGGTTCCTTATTTAATTTATGCATTTGCAAGCACTTCAAAAAGACTGGATCCAAAAAGAAGATCCTTCTACGAATCGCTGCGGAATACTAACAAAATCGAACCATTCCAGAAACGTCGAGTGACTGGTGGTGAAAAATGGATAACTTGCCAGCAACGTCAAACGAAAACGGTCGTGGTGGGAGGGCAACGAGCCGGCATAAGCGGGAGGCCATAGTAATATTACCTCTAAAATGGCAAAAAGTTATAGAACAAAACGGTGTTTATGTGGTATAAATCGAATGATTTTAACTATGGTAAATAAACCCAATTCGCTGCAATGCAAAAATAATGGATAACTTTTTACAGGACCATTATTCCTTAGTGTTTGTCTTGTTTGTATATCTTCTTTTAACAGTTTATTTATATCTGCATTTAGAAGAGGAGTTAATGCAAATTAAGCCATCTTATGCATTAATACCTATAGTCTGCCCTTCTTATTACTACAACACTCGTCGTTTACGGTATAAACACTTTTACTGTATATACAGTGCTAAGCGGAGCGATAAAATATTTTGTGATAGGGATTTATGAGCATTTAATTTCTCTGCAATTTCTATGATGTTTTAAGTAATTTTTCTTATATTTTTTTGTATAGCAGAGATAAAAGATTAAAGATACACGAGGCACGTTTAAAAGGTATAAATTTATTATTTGTCCATATTTTTGTTAAGAGTATATGATATGCACTTAATGATTTTAAATATATTTAGGCACATATGTATATATTATATATGCCCATATGCCGGGTCACTACACTACAACAATAATTGTTTTTTTTTTTTTTGTTTAAATACGCCCCCAATCTAAAGAGCTACTTCATAGAAATATGAGTACGCAAATGATAAATCAGGTTTATTGAATGTGTTAAATTTGTTGGTTAAAAGGTCTAAAAATATATCAAACTAATTAGAGCTGTAATTAGGAGCTGTAATTAATGAGATACCTTTTTAGACCATTTAACCAACAAATTGTACACATTTAATAGACTTAATTTATCGTTTTCGTGATCACATTTCCATTGGACAATTTTTTTGGTCTTAAATGCCTTCAATATCTCTAACAGGATTTCTAAATTTGTTTACGATTATAAATAGTAAACTACCGCCAAAAGGTACCTGGGAAACAGGAAGATACCGTAGGTGAGTTAAATTTCCCAAAATCCATCATTTCGAAGACTACTGCCATATTTCTGGCAATTACAAGCACACAGAAGAAGAAACCCCTTTCAATATCAATGAACACGTAACACCCCAACATGACGGGAGCGCTCTGCTTGTGACAAAAATATCACTAATTCCAAATTTATTGAAATTCGTACAAATACTCGAAATGTACATATATATTTTAACATAAATGTGTCAACAACTTTATTCACCACCCACTTTATTGCCACTTTCTCACCTCTATTTGACCAATACAAATATCGTAGGAAAACACAGAGAGCAAAACTTTATCTTTACTTCCAAAGTGAACAAAGTGCACTCCACCCAATTTCGTGTTTGTTTAATAGAAATACTGAATATCTGAGCGTAAGCAAAAAAAAAGTGAAAAAACGCCAACAAGCACCACTCTGTCACAAATAAAAAGTCCCATTTATGAGTACAAGTAATTTTGTGTTGAATGCAAACAAAACTCCAGATGAGCCTCAGGACTATTTCCGATGAAGATGAGGTTTTCTCGCAACTCGAAAGCGTACGTATATTTGCACAATTGCTTTCTCTTTG